TGCGTGCCTGGTTAGTACGCAAGGGCTCCATGAAGCATTCCCGTCAGATGGCTTGAAAAACGGTTAAGGACGATCATTTATTTATCGAATTATCACTATCTGTTATAAGTTGTAGGCGTGCAGTGGTACGGTGCCGTGATGATCGCTTTGGCTTTCACAGTGACTTCATCTTCGGCACTCATGATCATTTATTTAACATCACATGCACATATGAAGTTGCCTCTGCGCATCCGTATTCCGTAAATTCCCTTCCGAATGCTAGCAAGGTAAGTAAAATTGCGCCAAATGCATATGACCTTTCTACGTAGAATGAAAGTAGCCCTCTGGTGCTCTATTTATCCATTCTCCAGAACATATTCCGTCATTACCCTTCTTAAAACAATTTTTTGTTGATCTTGTTGCATTAACCTCTATCCTAAAGGCGTACTGCATCTGACTATTGCAATCCATTATTTAGAGATATTATAATATCCCACACCAGAGTTGACATGCTGTGAAAACTTGAAAGTATGTACCTCTCTCTTACATTAAATAGGTAAAAATTATTCATTTGAACAGTCAAGATGGTATCTTCGCCTTCAAAAGTTATGCCAAAAGATATTTTCTAAATTAGAAAGCCACTGTACTTTCAACTCATTGGGGAGAAATTATTTGTAATCAACTGCTTTTGTTCACCTGCCTCGCTGAAAACTCTGGCTAAAAAACGAAGCATGATCGACCGCAATATTTCAGGTGGACAGACACTACGCTCTACAGAAACAGTTTTCTGCTGAAGTGCAAGGCAGCTCTCATTAGCTTAGAGCCTGACTGTCTAACCACGCAAAGAAAGGACATGGCAAACATGTAGCGTGTTTACAAACGGAGGTTTGAATTCTCTCGTTGTGCCACTGAGTGATTGACAGCTGCCTCCTTACAAATCTTTGCCCTAACTCTAAGCGGCACAGTTTGATTTGACCTCAAAATCACTCCTAGCCCCACGGACTAAACCGACTAAAGGGGCTGTTCAAACTTCAATCACACTGCTCAGAATATCATCTCCGATTGCTGCTTTTCATATTCTCCCAGTAGCAAACGGTTTATGTACCGAATTTCAGAAACTGATCTACGCCGTCGAAATACCATCTTAAACCGAGTAGTGATGTGCTGCGAACTTGTGATACACGGCAACAGGTAAATATACAATACGTCTGCAGAGACACTCCTTAAGGAACATGGAGCAATTGCATCGCGTCGAACAGTACTTGTGTAGACAAACAGTGAGTAATTTTTGGCGTAGAAATTCCTTGAAACTGTGTCATATACATCGGCATGAAGTTTTTCCTGAACTCATGTACATACTTCAAAGTCATTCGTTGACGAGCCGTTTTCTGTTGAGCAACTCTAAACGAATAGAGTTGAGACGAGTTGTATGTAGTATCTTAGACGGCTGTCTTTGGTATAGTTTTTAACAGGCCCTGCGTTACAAGTTATTAACCTCCTTGTTTCATTCAAGCATCATATGCAACAGCAGAGATGCTAAGAAAACATCCGCATATTTCCAAGGAGCCTCACACAGATGCTGACGTTTTCGCTATCAAGCCCATTACGAATCAGAAACAGAGGCCAATGCTGGTGGAACTAACGCTAGTGGATGGATAACTGATCGAACAACTGATCCGTTTCTAATGATCAAAAACTTTTATCTATAGGTACACCGGTAAACGAAGAAAAATACAGTTTGATCTGTTATCAACAACGAGGTTATGTTATATCAAACGACGGCAGCAGGTTGGCAATCGTCGCTATTCATCCACGAACCACGTCACACAGATGTTCAACACGTGTTCCTTCTAGTCATCGATATCGCTATGCGGTGGCGGCGAAGAACAGTGAAAAAGTAATATTTTGTTTTTGGCGAAACTGAAGACAACAGTAAATAAGTAGTGGTTAACTGTGGCCAGTAAGCAGCAGGAGCTTGGGCGATGAAGATGATGAACATGAGATTTATGCGGCAGTTTTCTTCGTTGAACAACCCTACAGCGTCGTGGTACAATTTCAGCACGTGTTAGTGCGTAGCAATAACACAATGGTGGTAAACGGCGTGTATCCAGTTATACAAATCAAGCCTAGGTATTTCAACAACATTAATATCACATCTGTTAAAAGACAAAACAGCATAGCACGAAAACTGGCTGGTGTCCGTTTTAGCGACGTTCAAATGCGTCTGATTTCGCTACCACGAGTTTGCTGCATAACAATTACTAAAGAAATGTCCTGTATTCAAGAATCAATCCGAATGCGTCTCTTCAAAGGTTTCTTCAACATTAGTCAACTATGCCATCTACTGACCAGAGTAACCACCGTGCGATGATGAACGCAAATATCATAATTGCTTTCCACAGTCTGTTTTCATTGAAAGTCACAACAGCACCGGAACCGGAACCTTTCTGCTTGTCTTCTGTCACACGTGGAGGGAAGCGGTCATGAATGACAACGCCTGAAACATGTTAATGATGACACAATATACATCGCACAAACGCATGCAGTAGCCCTTACTCGGTGGCCGTGCCGTCAGCACGACAGGCACAGTGGTCATCTCGTCCACCACCACAACGACGTCGCTTTCGGTTGTGGCGGACATCGGAGGCTCAGTTTCGGCCGGGAGGTCGCCCGAACCAGACTCACCGGGGTAAAATTCGTCTTCGTCGTCCGACTGAGCCCAGGGAGGATGACCAGAGTGTTCGAAGATTTTCGCGCCAGGCTGGCTCGGATTTGTGTCATCGTGCGGAGCGAGTGACGAATCGACCCGGTCTGTGCCTTCGGTGTTGCGAATCTTGTCCAATGTCTAAGCGAGAGTTATGTTATTAATATCATCATAAACGCAAAAACGGTACGACAATTTCGGGTGGTGCGAAGATGGTTCTCAGGAAAGCCAGTCATCCGTCAGTCATTCATTGCCTCGACACTGCACATGCCGTGGCGATTAATAGCGAAGAGAATGGGGCAACAAGAGGGCGTCAGCGATGCTAAAACTTTCGCGTTTTCGCCAAAAAACGCTTCCATTTCCATGACGAACAACCAGTTATAGCCTGAAAGAAATATCGATGGACGTACTGACGTTTAACCCTGACTGTCGACCGCTGAACCGAAACCGAAAGAGAAACTTGAATCCGAAGCAGAAACTAGCGACAATTTGTTGCCCATCTTTAAAACGGCCATGCGGCGATGTTCAATGTCATTGTCTACCTTAGCAATTTCCTCAAAGCTGGCCAGTTGTCAGATCAGAAGAGATGGAAGGGGAAAGGAAGGACGGAATTGTTGCAAGAAACTTCTTACTTACCTTGCAAACATTGCATTCGTCATCACCATGGTGGCTGAATGGCTGTAGACCACTACGAACTGAAAGGAATCTATCGATACAACATTTCCAAAATATTCATGGCTCGCTCCTTAACTCGTTTGATAATATGTTTCTGTGTTTTAAAACAGAGTTCATTAATACTAATGGCAAATGGGAATACGAATCACGAAACTGAGTTAGTTGTGACGGTAGTTTCTAAATGCAAAAAGCTTGAAAAATGATATAGCAGTGCAAACAAAAGGACAGATTTTCGGTGAAGAATTTTAGACTTGTAAGTGTAGTGAATTTTTAAACGAAGGAGAAGTTTGGATGTCATGGACCAAAGTTGCTATTCGTCGTTCAGATAAAGGCTGTGTCATGAATTAACGAATATGACTTGAGAGGAACCAGTTTCACAAAAGTGAGCCGCAGATCAGGAGAGCAAGCACGATTCGTTGGCATTCTGCATGTAGTTTAGACCAAACTTTGAGCTACCTTATTCAGATGCAACCACTTCAAAAGAAAAAAGGATATCGTTCTAATAAACATTCTTAATGGACCTGGAAAAAGCATGAGGTTCTACTACTGTTACACGATATCCTGACAACAGTAAAGTTGAAGCTGTCATTCCCGTCTAAAAGGAGAAGCGAAATAGCAACTGCACGACTTGTGGAATAATAACTCTGTTGTCTAGACGAATTCTAGTTCTTCCTGTAAACGTGCTCAAAAGACTAAAATATGCAGATTAGATGAATCTGCGCCTTAATCAGTCATGATAACATCGGCACGGACTAATCATGAGCTGATCATATTTTCGTACTAATCACAAAATCGAACACTGCAGATTCATGTTAACGAATACGTCAACTTTGAACCAACTTTACTTAATTCACTGTCCAATCATGTGGAACGTGATAAGCTGTCATGGCCATTCTGAATGTATTTTTATCATGAGAGAAAACAGAGAGTTCCTTCAAAATCAGAGAAAACATTGTCGAGTAGCTTGAAGTCAAGAAAGTGGTCTGACAAACAGAAGTGCTTCCTCTCTGCCACTTAAAGTGAAAGACCAAATCGTACGAAGCATCGATCCATACTCTGGAGATGATATGGTGCTAGACTGAATGTATGGGTAAAGTATTTCACTGACTTGAACAGCGAAGACAATATTACTCAAGATGAGTTGCAGATACTATCCTCATTGCGTGCAGCTGTCCACACAACTGCAGCGAAACGAATAAGGCAAAGATGGAAGAATAAAACTTCAACACCCTGCGGAAACAGCAAAACAGCTATACAAATTTTTAAATACACCGGTTTCAGTACCTCCAGTGGTACGCACCATGAATAGAACTTGCACAGCATGAATCCACTGACTGATTAGGCAAGACTGAACTAAGTTCGAAAACTTTTTTAAATTTGGCCAGGTAAGACAACAAAATTTAAAATCATAGTTTGCACGTAATAGCGGCTAAGGTAGACCTAAAGTGCGGAAAATGACGATGGCAGCCAGAGAAGGTGAACGTTGCTCAGCATGCTAGAACGACACCGAACACAATGCATAATGAGAGTAGGCAAGTCTGAACGTAGCAGAAACCAACCGAGAATCTTAGACAGAAGACTTGCGTGATCTTACCGGGATCAAATCGACCTACACTGTTTCAGTGTAGTCTTAATCAGCTATCGGAATGGAAACTGGCAATTTCAACATAGATTACGTCAGGATAGATTAAACAAATCGCAAAGAAAAAGGCATGACGGAAATTTATCGTCGATGAAAAGCTGTTTCATTGTCAATATCTTCTGAAACAAAGAAATTAAATTCTGAATTGGCCGGTCCTGTTGAAACTGGAGGAGATTACTGCCTTTGTTGCGTGATTAAAATAGGTGCTAGAAGAAAATTCATATTTTCGTCCATTTTGTTTAACAGCCACCCTGCTACTCCTTTTAAGCTGTAGAGCGGATCCAGTCTTCAGAAAGCTTACCCAATGATCGCAGTCATCCATCAAACGGGTCGGCTCCATGACTTAGACGTTAGGTGCGCCAAAGACAGTTGTTCAGGATATTCGAGCTGTGCAACTGCTAGTTTACCCAATGGTACTCTTCCACACGGTTTTGTCAAAAAAAGTTCGCTTTCTGAGTCTTTGCTCAAGCATTCGGATCATATGTCAATACCACCATGACTATGATCTCGAGATCTGAGAAAGAAACGCTCGAAGGCAAGGTATAACAGAATGCCGTGTTTCAGAAGCTTATCGAGTTTATTTACAACATCACTTATAAGAAAAAGTCTAATTTCTGACGTTTGCATCCTTGATAGCATCATTCGGTCAATATACCGCATTCATAACTAAAAATAGAAGTTTACTTTAAGGCAGATAGCTTCGCTGCTACTAAACTCTTTCTTCGTCAACACAGATCGGCGTATCACTGGTAAAAATTCATTCGCTTCACCGCTTCATACGTCGATTTCCAAGTCCTCCTGCCATCACTCGTGAATACTGGTCCGAGAGGTTCAAACTTCTGCATATGCATTGGATTGCACTCCATTACCCTGCTAGGAAACAGGGTGAAGATTATCGAAATTATAAAAGACGGCTTCAGCAAGGCTAAACTTCATCCGTGCTTGAATGAATACGGTAGAAAACCACTCAAATGCATGTTTCAAACCAGCATGGGTGGCATAAACATAGTGGGATCATCTGAAAGGAGCAGGAAGTTCAGTTGAACACTTTCATTTGTGACGTTCTCAGCGAAAAAATGCATTTCCTGGCTCAGTCCATAAGTATAGTGCTCTGTTGTTAAATCGTGTAGATAATGTAATCCAGTTTGGTGAAAATTTGTCATCGCTAGTTCTACAACGGATCCCACAATAACCAAAGGCAACATTTTATGTACTGCGTAGTTTCTTACGAATTGACCAGACCATCTTTTGAAACACATGACGTTGTTGTTGCTATTGTCCAGCTGCCAATTACTTGCACTCCGTGTTTTCATGGATTTCTTCAGCCGCTGATTTGACTTAAAAAAGCGCTGCACTTTATGGTCTGGAAAGAAAAGACAGGGAAAGAATGACAGGTCCTATCCGATAAGCAAACAAACCGAAGCAGCCACTGAAATCGGTAATTGTTTACCTCGCTTGTAATCATGAGAGCAAAAGAACATACATACCAAAATCCAATGGCAAGCAGCGACGAAGTAACAGAAAAACTTCTGGACCACGTCAGATTCACGATGACTAGTTTCAATGCGTATTTCGCATTTTCAGATTGAAACAAACTGCTCATAACAAATTCACAGTAAATTCTGGGCACGTTGGAGAACAGTTTGTTCTACGACGTCATTAGCGAGCTCTAGCCTTTGTCGGCCTTGCATAAAAATTATCAAGAAAAGTACGGAAACAAGCATGTGCATGTGAGGGAAGAAAATGGGCTATTCATAAATTCATAATGCACATTTTCCAAACAAACCAATTACGATGGCGAGTAAGCCACGTCCCGAATATGCTCATGTAGGTGAAAGTTCGCTTTGAAATTGTCGCTGCCCACCGAGAGGTGACCCAATGCCGCAGTTTCACAGCCACTCACGTAACAACCTATCCACTGACCTCAGTTTCACATCACCGATGCTTCGACGACGCATGTCATTCGTGTGACAAGCCATCTACTAAACATATCTGAACTCTACTTAGAAATCATAAAGAATATAAACAGTTGCGACAAGGGGTTCCACCAAAACCGCAAAAGAACGATAGCTGCGTCATTTGCAATAACACCGAGTAAAACAATAAATTCAGGTACATAAGTTATGATCGCATAACGCATTTCCTTACATCGGTGATTCTTTTGAGCTTCGCTTCTAAATCAGCCGTGTTAAGTCGTTTCAAATGCAGCTGGTAAGTCTTGGTTCCGTTTTCTCGCGTAATGGATTCGCCGTCCACCACTCCATGGCTTGCATCAGTTGTATTTTTGTGAATGATGACCGCCACAGCTGCGGCGGAATAGTTTTGGAAATGCCTGAAATGCGAAAATCGATTATAAAAAATTGATAAAAGCTGCATCCTGTTTTGAGCTTCACATAATGTATTTGTATTAACGTATATTATTTTAGTTTCATTAAGTACGTAGCTGACCGGAGGTCTCTCTGAGCTAACACATGTTCTGTTTTAAAGTGAAAGATGATGCATACTAACGACCCGGTTTACGCTAACACGCATCTTCACATTTGCAAGCATAACGGCGTGCCGGCGTGCATTGCATGATACCGTCTACTATCATCTTCGACTTTTCATCTTTCGCTTCGTCTTCGTTGCAGGGAACTCAGCTGCCCTCCTGCACATTCTTATTCTTCATTTTCACCACTGTTCGGTTGGATTCGGCTGGACTAGACTAGTCTATATCCGAATCTGTACGTTCTGCCGCTTGGTCTGGCTTAGCACCGACTTCCAGGGTTTTTCTGACGACTCGACTCTACCGAAAAAGAAGCAGACGAAAAAAGCAAGCAACGGCTTTAACTAAGCTTCAACGTGAACAGACAGGTCGTCGCCTTA